TAAATGATTATTGTTTATTTGTTTAAGAATTTTGTACATGGATATCACGGCATCCTCCCAGATGTGATGGCATCCTCCCAGACGTCATCGCATCCTCCCAGATGGGATGGCATCTCCCCAGATGTCCTAGCATCCTCCCAGATGTCATAGAGTCCTTCCAGATGTCATAGCATCCTCCCAGATGTCATAGCATCTTCCCAGATGGGATGGCATCCTCGCAGGCTCCATTGTACATACCTGAGCCTCACTGCCTGGGAACCGGTTCCTTAAGGACATGCTGGACATCGGGAGGGAAGGAAGCACAGCCTGGAGACGAATAACCTGGCTGACGTGTGGAAAGGGTTGCGGGGAGAAGGAGCTCCCTTGCCCAGAGCGCTGGAGCTGGCTGCTTTGCTGTGGGGATGAGGTGCTGAGAGCGGCTCCTCCGCGGCAGAGCATCGCCCAGTGAACCCGCACACATTAAATCACCGCTGATGCTCAGGAGCATCCGTGCAGGTGGGGGGGCCGGGAAGGGGCTGGAGGACAGCCCTGATCTTTCACCCCTTGCCCAGTGTCCGGGTGGGAGCACCAAGCCCGGTGGTCTGGCCCAGGTCACTCATCCCTCACCGCCTGGTCATCTCCATCACAAAACCAGGGCGCAATAACTCAGCATGGAAGGGAAGTGGAGGGCGTTGATTTAAACCCGTGGACGGGCTCTCCTAACCCTGGCCCTCCTGGCGGCGGTCAGGGCTGGGTCACGGCCGAGTGCGGCTCCTGCCCCGTGCACAGGAGATGGCTGCGGGGACGCGGTAAGGAGCTTCGCTGCACGGCTGCATCCAGCCCCGCGGCCCCCGCGCCGGGGCGGTGCCCGGTGAAGGAGCGGAGCGGCAGGGAAAGGGCCGGGCGCTGCTGCGGGAGCCTGCGGGAGGGTGAGGAGGGGTCTGCTGTGTCACAGCCCCGCTCCCAGCCCCCTCGTAAATCAGGGGCGGGGGTCACTGTACGAGATGGCAAGGCCAACCCTTGGCAGAGGGCCGGCAGCCGGGGCAAGCCTGGGGTCAAGCCATGATTTACGCCACCGCGGCTGCGTGGGTGGGGTGGCCGTGACGGCAGGCGGCAGTGACTGGTGCACAGGCAGCAAAACCAGGTGCAAGCAGGAGTTTGCTGGGGCTCGGCGGGGCAGCAGCGGGGTTTGTACATGGTGTGATCTGAGGGTTTCTATACCAGGGTGCAAAATCCCAACCGCTGCCTTTCTCACGTGGCCGGAGACCAAACCATCTGCCTTCACCACCTCCTGCATCCCTCTTCCTTACCCAAAACTGTGCGGAGGGGGGATTGCCTTCCTCAGCGGGTCCTGCCGGGACGAGGAATGTCACCCCCTGCCACCGGCGAGGACAAAGCAGCCTGTGCATCCGTCACACCCGGCCGATCACCTTGGGGAGCTGCTGCCCGTGGGGCTGGGGCTGGGGGGACAATAACCCCCTTGTCTTGTGCCTGCCTGGTGCCGTGCCAGGACGTCCCCGGAGGTGCCGCACGTTGCGTGGGGAAGCAGCGCGCCTGCTCGCTCCAGCACGTGCTGGAAACTGGGGGATTTCACTGGGATTTACCTGGAATACCCGTTAAGATCATAAACCGCCTTATCCGGGGCTGCGGGCGGGCGCTCCGGCAGGGGGGGTCCCGCCCGCCTCCCCGTCCAAAGCGAGCAGGCAGCACCGTGGCGTGCAGGAGAACAAGGGTTGCCAGGAAAAGTTATCTTTGGCTGTAAAAAAAAAAAGAAATAAAATGGAAAACTGGATTTTGCTCCCTTATTTGACACGGTTTCACAAACTCGGGGCAGGCAGAGGGGGATCCAGCCCCGACACAGCCCGGCTTCGCTGCCTGAAAAGGTAATTAAGGACTTGGGCATGCTTGTTATAAATGATT